AATGTATTTAAACCCAGTAAAAGCTTGGCTGGCATGGTTCAGTGGTAGAGCATCAACCTATGAAGCAGGAGGTCATGGTTCAATTCCTTGTGGTTGCAGGCTCTAACCCCAGTGTGAGGCATGCAGGAAGTAGCCAATCAATGATTCTCTCTCATCATTGATGTTTCTATCTCTCTCTCTCTCTCCCTTCCTCTCTAAAATAAATAAAAAAATTTTAATAAAGAAAAATTGTTCAAATAAGTAAAAGAAGAAATCAAAAGTGTCATTTTATAGGCCAGTAATTAACTTGTTATTTCTTGCCAAGATATACAGAATTTTGAGTAATGATGACATCCTATAAAACCACTTTCTTAGGTGACAATATGCCATCAAAGAGAACCTTGTGGAGGGCAGTAATCTCAAAGCAATTTATGGGACACAAGGTCTATTGGTTCACTTTGTTCCTTACACAAACTAAGAGTCAGTCAGAAGCTTTCCTCAGAGAGTAGAAACCTTGCTGATATTCCTCAAACTAGAAAGGCATGGGGAAACTGCCTCAAGTCTATGGAAGGAAATTATTAGGAAAAGGAAGATTCAAGGGAAAGAGGACATCTGCAATCAAAGCTACATGGCAGCTCAGTGAGACGGGACTCAAGTGCTAAGTAAGTTTAAATCAAGTTCCACTGGAAAGATCACTTCTCTGGTCTATGCTTAAATTGAATAATTAAAAAAAAAAAAAAATGGAGGATCTACTCAGACCACAATGGCATAACATTAGAAATCAACTGCGATAAAAACAATTTAAAAAATTCAAACACTTGAAGGCTTAATAGCATGCTATTAAACAATGATTGGGTTACCAAAAAGATCAAAGGAGAAATTTTAAAAATACAGGAAATAAATGGCAAAACACAATAATCCAAAACCTATGGGACATAGTGAAAGTAATCCAGAGAGGGACGTCCTTTTAAAAAAAGAAAAATTTATTAATTAAGGTATCACATATTTGTCCTCATCCCCCCATTCCCACCCCAAACCCCTTCCCACGCATGCCCACACCCCCTGTTGTCTGTTAGGCTTATATGCATGCATACAGGTCTTTCTCCCTTAACCCCCCCTCTCCTACCTTCCCTCTGAGGTTTGACAGTCTGATTGATGCTTCCCTATCTCTGGGCCTATCTTTGTTCATCAGTTTATATTGTTCATTATTTCCCCTGATGAGTGAGATCATGTGATACTAGAAATACACTTATAAGAACTGAAAATGAGACAAGCAATAATGGTTATGCTGAGAGGCAAATGAATCAGTCTGTAGTGAGTTTCTTTCTAGGCCAACAGTTCTTTTGAGTCCTAATTTCAATGTCAAACAGTTCCTTATATGTACATGTCAGCAATGATACTTCAGTTCTGGATAGTGAATAAATGGTGGTGATGCATGTCTGACCCTCTCTGGTTTGGTCCTAGGCAACCTGCAATGATGCACAGCTGCTGACTGCTAGTATGGCAAGGCGTCATCAGCGTCTTCCACCTCTGGACTGTTTCTCTTCTGTCTTCATGGCTGGAGCAGCCAATTCCTCTCTGTTTCATGAATGGTCTTGGAGTTGTTTTATGAAAACATACAGACATATTCTTGACCAAAAGGGAAGTTCATAGCATTACAGACCAACCTCAAAAAAACAAAACAAAACAAAACAAAAAATGGTAATAAATTATCCAACTATAAAACTTAAATAATTAGAAAGAGAACAACAGGAAAAGCTCAAAGTGAGCAGAAGGAAGGCAATAATAAAGATCAGAGCAAAAATAAATGACATAGAGACCAATAAAACCAATATAAAAGATCAATGAAACCAAGAGCTGATTCTTTGAAATGATAAACAATATTGATGAACCTTTAGCCAGGCTCACCAAGAAGCAAAGAGAGGGGACCCAAATAAAATCAGAAATGAAAGAGGTGAAATAACAACAGATCCCATGGAAATACAAAAGATTGTAAAAAACAAAAACAAAAACAAAACAAAAAACACTAAGAACAACTCTATTCCAACAACTAAACAACCTAGAAGAAATGGACATATTTATAAAAAAATATATGACCTTTCAAAACTCAATCAAGAAGAATCAGAAAATCTCAACAGGCTGATAACTAAGAAAGAAATTGAAATAGTCATCAAAAAGCTTTTAGCAAACAAAAGCCCAGGGCTAGATGGCTTGCTTCACAGGAGAATTTTAACAAACATTCAAAGGAGAACTAAATCCTATCCTCTTCAGACTATTCCAAAAAATTCAAGAGGAAGGCTCACTTCCAATCTCTTTTTATGAAGCCATCATTACCCTAATCCCAAAACCAAATAAAGACACTACAAAGAAAGAGAATTACAGATCAATATTTCTGAGTAACATAGATGCTAAAATCCTCAACAAAACTCTACCAAATTGGATCCAGCATTACATTAGAAAGATCATACACAATGACCAAGTGGTATTTATTCCAGGGATGCAAGGCTGGTACAATAACCACAAATCAATAAATGTGATATATCACATAAACAAATTTAGAGACAAAAATCACATTATCATATCAATTGATGAGAAAGGGCATTTGACAAAAATCCAACACCCTTTCCTGATAAAAACTCTCAGCAAAGTAAGAATAGAGGGATCATACCTCAACATAATAAAGCCTTATATGACAAACCTACAGCCAACATCATACTCAATGGGAAAAAACTAAAATAATTTCCCCTAAGAACAGGAACAAGACAGGGATCACCATTTCCACCACTCCTGACGTAGTATTGGAAGTGCTAACCATAGTGATAAGATAAGAGGAAGAAACAAAAGGCATCCAAATTGGAAAAGAAGAAGTAAAATGATCATTATTTGCAGAAGACATGATATTGTACATAGAAAACCCCAAAGATTCCATCAAAAAACTATTAGATCTAATAAATGAATTCAGCAATGTAGCAGGATACAAAATTAACACCCAGAAATCTATGGCTTTTTTATACATCAATAATGAACTTACAGAAAGAGAAACTAAAAAAAACAATCCTATTTACCATTGCATCAAAAAAATTAAGATACCTAGGAATAAATTTAATGAAGGAGGTAAAGGACCTCTACTCAGAAAATTAAAAGGTGCTGAAAAAAGGGTTAGAGGAAGACATAAGCAAATGGAAGACTATACCGTGTTCATGGATTGGTAGAGTCAGCATCATTAAAATGTCCATATTACTGAAAGCAATCTACAGATTCAATGCAATCCCCATTAAAATACCAATGGCATACTTCAAAGACCCAGAACAAACTCTCCAAAAACTCATCTGGAATAAAACAAAAAAACAACCCTGAATGGCAGCAGCAATCCTGACACAGAAGAGCAATGTTGGAGGGATCACAATATTAGATATCAAGCTATACTACAAAGCCACTGTTCTCAAAACTGCCTGGTACTGGCACAAGAACAGACATATAGACCAATGGAACAGAACAGAGAATCCAGAAATTGACCTAAGCCATTATGTTCAATTAATATTTGACAAAGGAGGCAAGAACACACAATGGAGTCATGACAGTCTTTTCAATAAATGATGTTGGGAAAATTGCACAAATACTTGCAAAAAAAAATGAATTTAGACCACCAACTTACACCATATACAAAAACGACCTCAAAATGGATAAAAGATTTATAAGACAAGAAACCATAAAAATCCTAGAAGAAGCCATAGATAGCAAAATAGCAGACATTTGTCATAGCAATATCTTTGCCAATACAGCTCCTAGGACAATGAAAACTAAGGAGAAAATAAACAAATGGGACTACTTCAAAATAAAAAGCCTCTGCAGAGCAAAAGAAACCGCCAACAAAACAACAAGAAAGCCACTGCATTGGAGACCATACTTGCCAATGTTATATTCAATAAAGGTTTAATCTCCAAAATTTATAAGGAACTCATACAACTTAACAAAATGAAGATAATCCAATAAAAATGGGTAAAGAACCTAAATAGACACTTTTCTAAAGAAGACATACAGAAGGCTGTCAGAATGGCTGCCATCAACAAATAAATAAATACGAAGTGCTGGTGAGATGTGGAGAAAAAAGAAGCCTCGGGCACTGCTGGTGGGAATGCAGACTGGTGCAGCCACTGTGGAGAACAGTATGGAGTTTCCTCAAAAAATTAAAAATGGAACTCCTATTTGACCCAGTAGTTCCACTTGTAGGAATATATCCCAAGAATTCAGAAACACCAATCAGAAAGGACATATGCACTCCTATGGTCATAGCAGCACAATGTATGATAGCTAAGTTTTGGAAACATCCTGAGTGCCCATCAGCAGATGAATGGATTAGAAAACTGTGGTACATCTACCCAGTGGAATACTACGCTGCTGTAAAAAAAAAAAAAATAAGGAATTCTTACCATTTGCAACAGCATGGATGGAACTGGAAAGCATTATGCTAAAAGAAATAAGCCAGTCAGAAAAATATAAATATCACATGATCTCACTCATTTCTGGAATATAATGAACAACATAAACTGAGGAACCAAAATAAAATCAGAGTAATAAAAACATCGAACATACTTTCCAACCTGTGAGGAAAGAGGAAGGGCAAAGGGGTAAGAGATCAACCAAAGGATTATATATGAGCAAAACCAATGGACATAGATGGGGTGGGGAGCACGTGCTAGGGGATGGGGGCGGCTGGGGAGAAATCAGTGGGTGAAAAAGGAGACTTAGGTAATAGTTTAAACAATAAAAACAAACAAACAAAACAAATGGGATAGAGGTAGATGTTGGATTTATAGGAACCCCTAATGCCCAGAAGAGGTAAAGTGACCACAAGATAAGAACAAGATGACTAAAGCTCCGAGGAGACCAGATACTAAGCTTCTCCATCTTCCTATAGCTCAGGGTTCAGGTAGCTGCAAAGAAGTACAGCCCAATTGAGACCCTGGCCATGTATGATTTCCTGCCACCTTCTCAGAGTCAAATTTCCCATACTTTAAGCTTACTTCTCTTTCTTGTCAAAACCTGAACCTGGCCTAGACTTTGTCTCCTGGCCAACCTGAATTCTAGCTTTTATGTGTGTTTTGGAACCTTCATGCCTTTCTTTTTACAGTCTTCCTGGTTTTGTCCCCATTTGATGATCATCACGTGGTTGGTTTGTATTCCAGTTTTGATCCTATTTAGAATGAATTCCAAATAACTCCTGTTTGTTTCCTTCACACTTCCTGGATTTAATTTACCCCCCACTCTACTTCCCGCGCGCCCCCCCCACCCCCCCCTCCCACACACACACACACACACACACACACACACACACACACACACACACACACCAGTTGACAAAACTTTTAAGAACCCCAAATCAATACTTCTGTGGAGGATATTAACAACTAGTTCTCTACTGCCCCCTTGAGGGCCTTGACCACCACACACACTGTGGTTTCCCTTGTCCTGAGGTGTTTATCCCATCCTGGCCAGCTCCCCTAAACAAGTACTGGATATAAAGAATGAACTGTGCTTAAGAGCCTTGGAGAAGACAAAGATGACATAAATCTTGTCTTCCAAGAACTTAAAGGCTAGTTGGTCAGAGGGGAAGTGAGGCTCGTCTGTGTGCATTTAGGGAGTGGGGGTGGTGAGGGAGGGTGATCTTATCAGGCACAAGCAATTGTAAAAAGATGACTGTAGGTCTCAGGAGGGTAATACTAAAGATAGCTATAACAGGGGTCACCATGACAGTGATGGCAAACCTCATGGAGGACATCATAGCTGGGCTTTGAAAGGTAAAAAGACATGCCTGAGCCTAGGGGGAGGGTCTCTTGTGGGAAGAAATGGCTCATGTGAAACCATTGGAAGGAGAAATATGTGAAGTGCAGGAAGGGGGCATTTTTGCCCATATTAAGGGTTTGCATGGAACAGCAGGATGAGAAAGAGGACAGGAAGCTAGTTTGAATCCAAATTATAGAGGAATTTACATTTGTTCTATTGTTAGTGGATTATCCCTGAAAGCAAAATGTCCTAGTAGGTGAAGGAGGGGAGTTAAGAGGTCAGTACAAGAAAGGACCAAGTACTGAAGGTAAGAAAGGGATCAGAGTAAAAGTTTTGTGTGGTAGGAAGATGGATAAAAGAGAAAAAAATGTCAATCTTAGAGTCTCCTTAATTACTATGGAGTATGTAAAAAGATTAGATGTTATATGAAATAAGTGATGCAATCCATATCTTTGGAAATATGTTCTGTGATGTATAACGCATACACTACACAAACCCTAAACTGGTGTTTGTGGGTGTGTGTGTGTGTGTGTGTGTGTGTGTGTGTGTTTTAAGCCATTAGCCCAGGGCTAAAAGCTTTTGTATATAAACAATGCACATATTTACGATTGCTCGAGTCAGCCATCAGTGTGTCATAGACATCGCTCTGATCTCCAGAGATATGGCCATCTTTCCAGTGTTTGGTAATTGCGTGTAGCAGCAAGAGCTGAGTGCAGTCCTTACATGGATCTTGTTATTCTAATAGATGTTCAGATGAGATCACCAGTTGGTTGTTGTTTTGTGTGTTTTTTTAAAAAAAGTAATGTAAAAATTTCAATTAAGTGAAAAAAGCAGCATACCCAACTTGTATAACAATTGTGTGATTTATGCATTGTTACAATAACAAAGCAGCCCCACTTTTAGCGGCTTACCACAGCAATAAACATTTATTATCTCACATGGTTTCTGTGGGGCAGGACATCACGAGCAGATTAGCCGGGTGGTCCTAGCTAGGAGTCTCTCATGAGTCAAGATGTCATCAATCGCTGGAACCTGAAGGCTTGACAAAGCTGGAGGGGCAGCTTCCAAGATGGCTCCTTTCTATAGCAGGGCTATTGGTGCTGCTTTTGACAGGAGTTTTTTCCATAAGCTATTTGACTGCCCTCATGACAGGGGGACTGGCTTATCCCAGAGCACATAATCCTAATTTTTTTTTTATGACATAGCCCCCTGCAAGCTCCACATCATAATTTCCTCTATACTTTAGTATTACAAAGGTCAGTCCTATTTACTGTGTGAGTAGTGGTGATAGGGGGTACGGTGGTGGAGGGAGCTTCTAGGACATGAATGCCAAGAGGCAAGGCTCATTGGGAAGCTATTTTGGACTCTAGTTATTATAGAAATTGTACCATATAATGGTGCTCTATGGAAAATATTGAGTTTCTCAGCTAAATTGCTACAGTGGAAAAATTGTCACATAAATATGTGAATGGTTAGTGTATATCAATAATTATCTAGTTGGTTATTAAAAAATTATTTTCTAAGTCAATACAAATCCAAATGATGAAATTCCAGTAATAGTTTGGTATCTCTTTTGAAGTGTGCTATTTGTTTTAAACATTTTTCTAAGTGCATTGGTTTGTTACATATTGGACTCACTATAAGAATCCCTTCACAAATACACATTGATAAGTTTTAGACTTCATTTTTAGCAATATTGTAGACTAGATCACGAGAGAAGACTTCCCAATACAGCTCACATTAAAGTAATGATTAATAGATGTTTTACTGTATGGCTGAGTTATGATTAAATTAGAGAATTTTTAGAAGTCAGAAGTCACAAGAAAGAAAAAAATCCACAAAGGTGAGCATGACCTTGTGAGAATCTAATAATCCTGGTGATGCAGTGCTAGGGCTTCCTGTACCTGGGACGGGAGAGAAATCTGGGGAGTGGTAAAGGGAAGTCAGAGATTTGGGCCAGAGACCTCCCCTTAAGGGCAAAAAACCCAAAAGATAATAATATCAGTGACTAAGCAAAAACCCCATTCTGTTGAGAGACACAGCCCCAAAAAGAAAATAGTCACCCTGCGGAGGAAGACAGTTTTCCTTTCTGTTTGTCGGCTCTAAAGATAAAGCTGATAATGTCTTCTCGGGAAATCTCTAACCACCTCTTCTAACAGGTTTGGGCCTGAACCACTCTACCTATGGGGCTCCCCACACTGTTCCCAGGTTCCTAGCAAAAGCAAACACAAGCCCTTTCTAGAAGAATGTGCTAAATAAAGTTTTGAAGAATCCCTAATAATGAAGTTTCAAGGAACAAGGGCTTAAAATAAGAACTCACTAAATACTTGAAAAAAACAGATTTTCCTGAGGAGGCATCAGCTGAAACAGCAAACTATAGATTTAGGCCCTCCAAGAATGTAGTTTTTGGAATTATCAGGTAAAGGCACTTAAACAACTATGTTTAATATCTTCAAATAAGTAAATGAAGAAATCAAAAGTGTTGTTAAAGAGAAAGAGACTATCCTAATTGACAAGATTTGAAAAAGTAAAAACAAATATAATTTCTGAAAAATACAAAAATTCAAGTTAGAAATGCAGTGTGAAAATTAAATAGCAGATAGAATCAGCTAAAGAGAGTAACAGTTAACTGGAAGATAGAAGACAGAAGCACAGATGGACAAGATAAAAAATAGCAAAAATAAGTAAAAAGAACATATAGAGGATAGAAAAAGTTTAATTTACATCTTGTTAGATTTCCAAAAGGAGAAAACAAACAAACAAACAAAAAAGATAGGAGGGGGGCAATACTGAAATAGATAATGGTTGAAATTTTTCCTTCTTTTTTTTAAATCCTCATCTGAAGACATGCAGAGAGAAAGAGAGAGAGAGAGAGAGAGAGAGAGAGAGAGAGAGAGAGAGAGAGAAATATCGGTCAGTTGCCTTCTGTCCATGCACAATCCACTTATGTACCCTGACTGGGAACTGGCAACCCTTCATACACAGGAGAATACTCAACCACCTGAACCACTCTGCCCAGGCTGAAATTTTTCCAGAATTAATGAAAGAAACCAATCCTCAAACTGAAAAATCCAACAAATCTCAAGTTAAGATGAATACAAAAGAAAAAATGAAAATAATAATCTTTAGTCCAGAAAACTAAACTCAAAGTAAAGGAATCTCTCTCTCTCTTCTTCTTCTCTCTTTCTCTTCTTCTCTCTCTCTCTCTTTCTCTCTGTCTCTTTCCCCGCTACCCTCCACTTCTATAAAAATCAATAGAAAACATATCCTCAGGTAAAGATTTAAAACAAAATAAAAGACACGTCTAAAACATAAGGACATGGAAAGGTTGAAAATATAATAATGGGAAGAGATTTACCAGGCAAAGAGGGGCAAGAAAAGGAATAATAATAGTTAAAAGTAAAATAATAAAAGCAATTGTATATTTAAGAAAGAAAAAAAAAAAAAAACATTTCCAAGCAACATTTTGCTGGATTTCTTAAAGAAAAAAATATAACTATTGAAAATATAGAAATCTAATTGTCTTTATTCATAGTAATGTAAACATTTCTGGAGAATGATTTTAAGTAAATTTATCATTAAAATATTAGTACAATTGATAATCTGTCACTGCCAACAGTAAGAATGTGAGCAGAGAATCATGAACAGGAACTCAGTTCTGGTAGTCTCAGGACTTCTTTATTCTCTTTTTTTCTGTAGCAACCACAGTACCTTGGGATGACAAAGAGGGGAATTCTTCTAAAGCTTTTGGGATTTGAGTTGCATGGTTATGTCTGCATTGTTTCTGTGAACTGCGGAAGCAATAAAAATGCATGCTGTGCCAATATGTGATTGTAAATAAATTTCCATTATTTGGCTCCTGGACAATGTAGTTTCCACTGAGTGTTTATTTTAGGGGTGTGGGTCTAGTGAAATGCAACAGAAAATAGTCAGAGGATTTTGACTAAAAAGGTGCGGATCAAGGTATATTTTCAAAAATTGTGCGGCCAGGGTCCAAACACTAGGAATAAATTAAGACCTCCAGAATGAACTAATTTTTCACCTTTATTCTAGTGTTTCTACATTCCTTCAATTGCATAGTAATTGTGCAATAAGCCATTGTGTCCTTGTAGGAGTGTCCGTTTACTTCTGACTTGTGTGGTTTGTTTTTAGAAGAGTGGGGAGATAAGTTTATCACATGGGAAGGACGTTAGAATGTTGAGCCAACAAATGAGAAAGTGCATCACCATTTAATGGTAGACTCTCTGC